AAAACATTGCTAAAGAACAAACGATTATCATTAATATAGCAATTCATTTCAATCACCATGCAGGTCCTTGAAATACACACGCAAAAAAGACTAAATCCAGAGGGCACTAACATTTACGCCTAAAATTTCGAATTTATAAAAGATGTGAAATTGTGAAATACTTTGTATTGAATTATCAATAATCAAGAGGGCTCTAAAATTTACGAAAAAAGTACCAAAAATAAAAAAAAAAAAAAAAAATAGACAAAAAGACAGAAAAAAAAGAAACCTACATATCAATTGAATATCAAGTTAGAGTATGTTTTTAACACTTCATGTATTTTTTTTTATTTCTCTAGTTTTTGTTCTTTAAGCTTTTGTTAATTTATAATTTTGTTGAGTTAACCCGGTTTTCAGGGTTTTTCTGAGTCTTCTGTATCTGTTCGGATCGTTGGAATTGCTTTTTGTCTTAGCTTATCGTGTTGTAATTTTGATTTAACAGGTGCCTGGCAGTAAACAAAAATCAAAACAAAACAAAACCAAAAAAAAAAAAAAAAAAAAAGAAAGAAACAAAAAAAAATAATAATAATAATAATAAAAAAAAAAATAAAAACAAAAAAACAAAAACAAAGCAAAACAAAACAAAAAACAATACAAGACAGATTCATAAATACTGCATCCATTTTAAACTTTAATCGTGTAAAATGTTGTAATCGTGTTTAAATTTACCGGGTGCATATGTCAGTAAATAAAAAAAATTACAGCATGACATATTCCTAAATGTTGCATTCGTTTTCTAGATTTTGCGTCCGCTTTCTTTGGAACTCCTTTGGAACAACTGAAGCTACCTCCTTAAGAACCCCAGAACAGTCCCATGGACAATACTCAGGGGTCGCCTCCTGTCTGGTGGTTTCTGGCTAGCACTGTATGTACCAGAAACTTCTCAGCAGCAACATACATCAAAAAATGTGCATTCATTGCTAACATGAAAGGCCTGACAATGCCCGGTGTCCTTGAGAAAAGATATGGAGTGAAGAGCTTGTCATTCAAGTATAAAGAGACACAAAAGTTTCAATTCAGTTCGACAGTTATAGGCCTCCACAATTTCGATAGCTAACTATTCAGCGACCTTGCTTTTTGAGATACGACCTTGCATCAATATCATGATATATTTTTTGCTATGGGCGAATTTAAGTTGAGTTCATTCAGTCAAGGTCTCTAGAGAAATGGACTAGAAACCATTTCCCAACCTCATTGCCTCTCGACTTTAGCATATGAGATATGAACTCGAGACAAGACTTCTTTACATCTTCAGGTCATGGACAATATAAACGTTCTGGTTTGAATTCACCCCAATCTAGATTTGCAGAGCTATGAGCCAGATACCATCTTTCTATCTAATTGACCAGTGACCTTGGCTAATGACCTTGAGTAAAGTTCTTGATACAAATTGAAGTCATGGGCAAAAAAAAAAAAAAAAAAAAAAAACAAAACAAAACAAAACAAAACAAAAAACAAAACAAAACAAAAAAAAAAAAACTTAAAAACTAAAATAATTCCAATCAACCACCGGGCTTTACTGGAATTAATAAAATTTGGCTACATATGAAGAATGAATTCACCCCTCCCTAATTAAAATGATTCCACAATATGGCACAAATACAGACGGACAGATTGATTAATTGATTTGTATTGTTTAACGTTTTGACATCAGACACGTGAACTCATATATTCACTCAGCCTAAATATTCATAATTCTTTTCATAGTAACTTCGTTTTGTGTATAAAAACAAACTTAATCTATTAGCAATGCACTTTTTAAAATAATGTTAAGTAAGATTTGTGGTTTAAGAAATGCATAGTTATGCATTTTTTTTTACATACAGTACAAATTTCTACCAGTCTCTCTTCTGTCGGATAGTATAAATGTCTATCCATCTTAATACTCATACATGTATGTGCTGGAAAATAAAATAAATGTATGTCTTGTGGGCTTCCCCGACAGGCCGAAACATTGATTTATGTAAACATGACTATATATGCAATGAGTCCTTCATCAAATTTTGAAATTCATGGGTTCCCTGGGTTTAGGTTTCCTGGGTGGAGCCTAGTTAATGATATGCTGAGAATGCTTAAGTCCTCATCAAACCACATTAGTTCTTACTACTTTCTACAAAAATATTGCCAAACTGGTTCAAATGGTGTACAAACAGAGAACACTTAGTACCAACTGTTTCCTGTCTAAGAACTTCATGGATGTGCTCGAACTGGCTTGGACGTCCTAAATTTGGTAGGGGTGACACAGTATTTCAAACGAGATGGACGTACTAAGAACAGAATTGTCGTACTACGAACGGAATTACCGTACTTCGATCTTTTAAGGGACGTGTTACACGTGACATGCCAACATCAATAAGCAGTGCAGATCGTCCGTTTGTTCCCACCATGGCTTCCTCTGGCTTCAGTGTGAGATGAATGCAAGTCTTGATTTTGTTCAGGGAATTCTGTTGCTCTTCAACACCTTAAGTGAAGATATAAAGCAGGATACAGGGACAGGTTCAGAAGACGAAGGTTCTTTGACCTGATCTGGTTGGATTTCAACGGAGCCGCAGCCTGGTGATCTTTGTGTTGCTTTTATCGCACAGGCAGTTTTTTTTCTTTTGAGCACGATAAAACTGAGTTAAGTATGCAGTTTCAAGTGTTGAATAAAGATTGAGAAATTGCAAAGAACGTGCTTGATTTTCATAGTTCCCGAGTCAAGACGAGATTGCACGCCCACATGCACGACTGCGTTCAAACGCGCAACTAAAACAACGTGAGGACGAGGTGAACTGTCTTTGGATGGAGAGATCGTGTTAAGTACTAGAGTTAGAACGAGTTTTAAACTAGTAAGAACGAGCTTTGTGTATTGTAAACTAGGTAAAGAACAAGCTTAATCTGACTAGGGACGGACTATGACTACTTTGAAGCAGCAAATTTACTCGAATTAACCTTGATACATGTATGAACTGACTGGACGGGGTACAAACGAAATGGACGTATAAAGAGAGTAGGATCGTATTGTAGACATTTGTAAAAACTTACATTCAAGCATCCCTTGCCGACCGGTCACACCCGCTGTGTGATGCTGTCATGATCGGCAAAAACCGGAAAAATCCGTAGACAGTTCAGTGTATAATTAAGGGCCTAACAATTAGTGTGGAAAACGTCAGTCAGCATTTGACTCAATGATAGATTGTATGTGCTGACAAGGTCATTGTATCGACCGAAAAACTTGCGAAAAGATGACTTCAAACGAGACGATTGATATCCTTGTTTCGTCAAATTATTTGTCAATAGCTTGCCTCGTTTTAGAAATTATTCATACGTAGAGCATGTTCTTGCGTATCGAATCAACTGAGAGACATACACCCCATATGCAGGTGATAAGGGTATATTGCTACATAAGTAAGGGAAGTTGGCGATTAAAATGTTGAAGTCATCACGTTTATCAGAAAGCTTTGTTGTTAGGTTACCATTAACTTTTTTTTAAGTAAAATATCTAACTATGAAACAGATGTGTCAGAATCTGATTTTAAAGGACAGGATAAGTCGTTCGGGAAACGAATTTGGTGTAGTGGGGGTTTTAGCAAAAAACAATATCCATAATTATAATAAATACTATACTAAGCCCTCTCATACAAAAGGTGAATTTGATTATCCTTGGGTTTAAACTCTAAGTGGGACTAAGTTGAACCCATATTTAAAACACATTACACTTTTGAAATTTTTCTCCTAGTCTCATGGACATCAAGAAGGCAAACTATAATATTACAGTGAAAGTTCGTATTATTTCCTTAAATTGTAAAATTCATGGCTCACTCTTCAATGGGTGGGGAATAGTTTGTTATATATTAAAAATAATTTATCCTTGGATCTTTTTTCTTTTCTATAGGTCAACTAATTTAAAGATGGTAATGAATAATTCATTCTAAAATAAAATTGCAAAATTCATGTCCCCGGATCAATTTCAGGCTCCGGGGTAGATCAAAGTTAGTCTTATATTTATTACATATAAATGTATTTTTATATTTTAAATTTTATTTTTATATTTATGTGAAGCAGTCTTTAATAAAATACTTAAACATGAGAAGAAGAAGAAAGTTGACGAAACAAGGATATGAACAGTCTCGTTTGAAGTCAACATTTAACATGTTCTATGTTCGATACAATGCAAATACAAATCTATCATTAAGTAGAATGCTGACTAATGTTTTTCATATTAATTGTTAGGTCATTTTTTACACACTGAATTGTCTACGGATTTTTCCGTTTGCCCGATCATGACAATGAGCACACGATGGGTGTGACCAGTCGACAGGGAATGCTTACTCCTCCATGACACCTGATCCCGACACTAATGCTTTTAGAGGTCCATGATTGCTCTGCTCCCGATTTATATTGTTTCAGTGGACTTTTGAGCTTGATTTCTGTTCGTTATATCAGTATTTCACTTATGAAATTCTTTACTTATAGCTGGCAAACTGTTTGTATGATTACAGTGAATACCTGACGTTTTACCAAGATTGTAAAATTCATGGCTTCTGGGTCCATGGTTTAGGTCCAAGGTGGAGAATACACTTGTTGGTCAAATATTGAAAATGCATAACTTTGTATCTTTTTATTTTCTGGTCAACAGTGGATACTTACATCTTCTGGGTAACTTTTCCCACTTCTGGTATTTCCTAAGGTCCCTGTTTTTGCATTGTTCTTATTAACAGGATTTACAAAATTGATCATTAATTGTTTCCTTCACATTTTGCACATCTACATGTAATGGGTAAATTGATTATATGATTACAAAGAGTACTTTAACCTCAGATAACAGAGTCTAGCTATCAGGGTCAAGGTTGGGGGTAGGTTGGTCGTAAATTGAAAACACAGAACACCTTTGAAAAATTTCGTCTTTGCTGATACATATCTAACTTACAAACTTATTGCATGATTATAATTTACACTTAACCTTTTAACAAACTTGTACAATGCATGGCTACTTGCTCGTGTCCCAAGGTAAGGCCAAGCTGGCCATATATTGAAAGTACATTACATCTTTGAAAATCTCTTCTTTATCAGTGGCCTTCGAGAAGGTAATTGTTTGCAGGATTATGGAGGACAACTTTCCCTCTATAAAAAATATAAAACCCATTACACCTGCGTCCAACCTGCAGGATTTGGGTGGTCTTTTATCAAAATTTAGTATACCTTTCCTTTAGCGTTTCATGTAAAATGTTTGTCAAATGAGTCTAGAGTTCCAGTTTCGGGTGGGGATAAATTGGTTATAATAGCAATAGGGTCCCAGTCAAATCAAAGGATTTGTAAATTTTTTTGATAATTTTATAGGTGCCTTCACTTCGGACGATTCGTCCAACACGGATAGAAAGTCAGAAATGGATTTCCAGTACAAAGACAGCCATTCTTCTGAATGTGCCACAAAGTCGTCGTCCTCCTCTTCTCCAGCAGACAATGACGTGGGTTCGGTTGTTCTGTTTGGTGTTCCTATAGTTTGCCTGTATGTTGAAAGCAAAGAACGGCTCTGTCTGGCCCAGATATCAAATACTTTACTCAGGAACTTTAGTTATAACGAGATCCACAACCGCAGAGTTGCGCTTGGAATCACCTGTCTACAATGCACGCCTGTACAACTAGAGATATTACGACGAACAGGCGCAATGCCAGTGTCATCCAGGCGCTGTGGTCTGATCACTAAGAGGGAGGCTGAGAGGTTAGTAAGGTCGTTCGTAGAGGAAATACCTCCACCTAAACTTCCGGAGAACTTTTCATTCAAGGTTTACCATACCTGTGGTTGGGGATGTCAAGGCATGTTTCTGCCTTCTAGATACAATAGTTCTCGTGCTAAGTGCATTAAGTGCTCGTTCTGCAATTCTTTCTTTTCTCCAAACAAATTTATATTCCATTACCATAAGACACCGTCAGCAAGTTATCGCCACCCTGACGCGGCAAACTTTAACTCATGGAGACGCCATCTTCTTCTGAGTGATCCTTCTCCAACTGATTCTCTCCAACATGCCTGGGAGGATGTAAAGTCAATGTTCAATGGTGGTTGCCGTAAGCGCACTACTCAACACAGTCTCGGTCCATCAACATCTTCAAACTCCTCGCCAATACCAATCGGTCAGTTCAACCAATGTTCATATGATCATTTGCAGTCGGTGCCTTCAGGAGTAAACCAATTCAACAGATATATTGGATCTGGCATGATGGAAACTGACACTCAAGAAAGACCAATGACACACTCGTCTTTCCAGTCCAGTTACCCCAGCAATGTGATTGGTCCTTATGGCGATATCCTTCGTTCTCTTAGCATGCATTACAATCCCTGGTGGAAATCTATGTATCTCACAGGTCAGCCCTATTCTCCCTGTAATTCGGTACCCCTCCCGATCAACATGTCCTGTATTAACTACCCACCAATGATTCTTGCTTCTCCAAACAATTCCAGTCGGCCCTCAACGGAGGAGGACGCAAAGTATCCGGGAAACCCCGCTCTACCGAGAGTAACGAAAAGTGAAGAGAAGAGGCTTGCTATACAAACGACAGGAGAGAGGATACAAACTGATGCCGCGATCAGCATACCAAGCAATGGGAATCAGTTTATAGGGGCAGGAAAATCTAGTTCTACTTCAACAGGGATAGATGATGGGAACCTTATCAACAAATCAAAGGTAAAATGTAATCAATGAGATTTGTTTCCTTCTAATGAATACCTTATTTGAGAGTGAGACAAAAATATAGATGAGTCATTTTATGCAAAACAGATTGTCTAAAATCCAACGGCCAAATGTACAATGAAAAGGATGAAGATAACGAACAGTGATCAATCTGGAAAAAAGTACGAACACTACAATTCTTTGAACAGGGCATAAAACACGGAGTCCCGTAAAGTCCAGAGGTGGGATCAGGTGCCTAGGAGGAGTAAGCATCCCCTGTCGACCGGTCACACCCGCCAAGAGCCCTATGTAATGATCAGGTAGACGGAATATTCTGTAGTCTTACTTAGTATATAATTGGATGAAATATGTCAATGAAAATACGACCCAATGAGTTGTACGAGGTTGTCAGGTAAAATCGTGGTCGCGTTTTAATGAATAATGATGTGCGCACTAAGCTGAAAATTTCAGTAATGTTCATTTATCATATTTGAGTACATTTTCATTCTTTTTATAAAATATAGAAAAAATATATTAATTCAATACATTTGAATGTGCATAGAGCATGATCATACGGCGCAGGATAAAAAATTTAGTGTTTTGTCAGAGAATATGCCAGTAATATATATAAATAAAAGTATGAAATAGAAAAGGTGGCGGTAAATTTTATCATATTTAGGTCACTATCTATTATGTGGTCAAATTTCAAGGCAACTGCTTAATTTTAGGCAAATTTCCTAGCATTTGAAATGGGAAAAGTGGTTAACACCAGGCCCGTAGCAACGGTTTTAAAATGGACCATCGTCTAATTTTTTGGTACATTTTTTTATCAAATACTTGAGTTTGCCAGAGTTCGACCTTACATCAGCAAAAGTGAAGGGGGGGGAGGGGCAAGAGGCATCTACATGAAAATTTACTCATTAAAACTACAGCAAAAGACTATACTCTGATAAAAGGGGGCAACCCCCCCCCCCCCCGGCCCCCGCGTTTTTCGAGCCTGATTACACCACACACGAAAAATTGCGACTTTTGATGTCGGTACATATTTGCTAACAGAGTCATTGTTACACACCAAAGAATTTATAGGAAATGCTGACTTTTAAGTGATTTGACCAACTAAAGTTGGTATAGTGATAAGGAAAGATTTGCTGCTCTTCATTCTCTGAAAGATAATTCTGTTTTTTTTTTTTTTTTAACTTTCTATTATTAGTAACAATTTAACATTGAATTAATGAAATAGAGAACATTTTTCAATCCTCAATTAGATTGATCAAATTAATCTGTTACACAAAAGAAAATTAAAATTACTTCTGTATACGAATGTTATTTCATGGCGCTTACCAATAAGTGGTTATACTAAAATGATAGACGAGACGAACTAAAACACAAAAATATAATGCACGTTATCTTTATGGCCTTTATTTTGATTTGTCTATGTTCAGTTTTTATGGTAATCTCCTATTAGGATTTCTTATCTTCGTGCAATTAGCCACAGTTTGATATCTCCTTTACTTTCTGTCAAGACAAAAAAAGAACAAACATTAAATCTATCCTAATCAGTCGTTACAGAACGTGTACCTGAAGCTACAAAATATTAAATTAAAATACGAAACAAAATAAAATATCTGAAACTTTCCCTGATAAATAAAAGTGGAGTGAAAGCTAATTTAATCAGTTTTTACGAGTAATAACAAAAGAGCTGGTTTTGTTCTTTGGTTTCATCAGGTGTATTCAATTTCAAGATGGAAATGAATTTTCTGTATCAGACGCCCGATTACATTCGCCGCTGATATGTTCTCCGTCGGTAGAAAGGACCATTATGACTCAATTAATATTTTTTTCTTTGTTAGTGTGATAAATAAATCTGATTAAATTCTTGGTATGTTTCCGACTGCTTGAATTAATTTCTGTGCTTGCTGTATTCTATGAGGAGTGACTGATCTCTCCATGCATCTAAAAAGAAAAATATCATATTGTGGCCGTAGCACTCTCCTTCAAAATGGACACTTGGTGTATCAAATAAACACTGTAAGTGCTTGCGATGTGACCTTCCAAACAACTTGTTTGAAAAAAATTCAGTAATTCGTTTTACAGTTATAAATACGATATACATAAATATTGTCGTGTGTTAATTCAAATTTCCTGATTTACAAATAAATAAAACACCGAATGTTGGTCCAGTCCAAAAAACTAAAAAGTTGTAAGCGTGCTGTTACATATGATAGAAATACGTTGTGAATAGGTTCAATAACAAATAAACGTACGACTTTTCAACTCTGTATACAACCATTCCCAACGATAAATTAAAGTCCAGGCTTTTGACATCATTGACAGCTGCTTTTTCAATAAAATGAATCTCGTAAATTTACTTACCTTGTCATTGGTCATTTGCAAAGTTATTTTGTTAAAAAACATTCTGATTGTACACACAAGTACTCTGAAGTTGACATTAAAAAGATGCTCGAGTTTCTGATTGACAATATCTATGTGGTGTTTGGAGACCAGGTCTTCCAACAATCTGTTGGAATTTCCATGGGTACCAGTTGGGCCCCGTTGTTACCAGACCTTTTTTGTATTCATATGAAGCAGAATTTATTCAAAATCTGATAGATGAGGAAAAGAAATCTCTTGCTGTGGCCTTCAACTCGACATTTAGATATATTGACGACGTATTATCAATTAGCAATTATAGTTATTTCCATTCATATGTCGACACGATATATCTTTTTCAGCTTGACATAAAAGATACCACAGAGTCTAACACATCTGTTCATATTAGGATATTTTACTAGAAAAAGACGTTGATGGTAATCTTACAACAAAGCTTTATGATAAACGTGATGACTTTAACTTTTCAATCGTCAACTTCCCTTACTTACGCAGTAATATACCCTTATCACCTGCATATGGGGTATATATCTCTCAGTTAATTCGATACGCAAGGGCATGCTCTACGTATGAACAGTTTCTAAAACGAGGTAAGTTAATAACAAATAAGTTGATGAAACAAAAATATCAACAGTCTCGTTTAAAGTCATCATTTCATAAGTTCTTTGGTCAATACAATCAATACAATGACCTTGTCAGCAAATACAATCTATCATTAAGTCATATGCCGACTGACGTTTTTCATACTAATTGTTGAGTCATTATTTACACACTGAATTGGCGACGGATTTTTACGTTATTTCCCGATCATGACAAGGAGCACAAGGTGTGACCGGTCGGCAGGGGATGCTCACTCCTCTATGGCACCTGATCCCACCTTTTTGGAGGTTTTTGTTTGCTCTGCTCCCGATTTGTATTGTTTTAATGGACTTTAAGCTTGAAAACTGTTCGTTATCTCCATACTTTGTATTTTATTGTTAAACCTAAACTCCGAAGCTATTCACTACACTAATATTGAAATTTGGAGGCATAAGAACTATGATACGGTGTATATTGCAGAGTTCAACAGACGGCAAAGTTAAGGGGGAACAAACCAAATCAAGAACCTCGGATGAAAATTGCACTGGTAGGATTGTATGCATAATCTGTTTGGTAAAAATTTTCAGAAGTTTCTTAATTCGACATTTTAGATACGTATATTTAAATATTATGAATTTATTTCATATATTTATCATTGTTTTCCTTGTTTGGTAAAAATTAGTGTAACTGAATCTTACCATCATATTTATTTGCTTTTCTAGAACAAACCAAAGACCTTTTGCCAACTGATGGTATGGATATTTCAGCGTATTCTATAGGTAAAATTGTATTGCTACCATCCTGAAAATATTGTTAACTGCTTTTCATAACCCTTATTTACGTTGATACTTCACTGTTCTACAGATCAGCTTCGAGAGTTGCTACTGAAGTCTAGATCGGAGAAATGTGGAACCATGAACTGAAATCATCACTGTCTGTGTGAATTAGTCTCATACACAGTCTATGTAAAGAATAATTGTTGACAAAACTTAATATTTGTAGCGTTATCCAATTTTCTACCTTTACACTTTTAAAAGTCTCACTGGAAAGATTAAGCGCAATTGAATTACTCAGAAATGTTCATTTTTCTGTGTAAAAATATTAATTTGTTATTAAGCGCCACATACTTGAATCCTCGGGGATTATTATCCATTTATGAAATAAATAACATAATTGGTTTCCGGAGAAAATTGGATAACGTCTAATGTCGTGCCCAGCTATCCTTTTAACGCATTTAAATAATTAATTCTATTACATGTTTGTCAAATGATTATACCCCATCATTGAAGTTGTATTGACTGTATGGTGAATGTTAATATTTGTCAAAGTGTCTAATGGTTTCAGTTTTAATTAAATAGATAACTCATTAATGCAAAAGTGTTGTTCCCCGGAGCTCTGATCTAATACACAAATATTAATACTGTCAATTCTCTGGGACCTCTCGTATACCAAGGAATCAAAGATGGAACACTCTGTGGAGAGTATTAACGTTGTTTTACTAATAGAATGATTTTTGAAATAAGATACAAACTTCATAGCCAAAGAAAATTAGAACATATGAAATAGATTCAATTTATAATTTAACGGTTTATTTGGTAAGCGTTTTATTTATTCATATATAAATACTTTGATTAAATTCCAAGATTAATTCAGATATTACTGAACTTGATGTTGCACCATTTACTTCATTTACAAAGTCCAGCAAGATTACACAAACAAAGGATTTCCTCAATTCACTTTATGCACGTTTCAACTTCATCTGAACCTTCTTTAAGGAATATTTTTCAGAATCTTTCCATGTAAACCACACGACTCCGTCACTACTTTTTGCCTGCGCATGTGTATACCAACCCTTGTGGTAAACTCCATTGAGGTTACTAAGGTAACAAGAATCAAACCACCAACCAGCTCTGTTTTCCGCGGCACAGTTGCGCATGTTCAGGTCATTATCAGTGTCCTCAGTACTAAACTTCATCCCACTGTGGTAAGTTAGTGAATCACCGGCATTTCCAGTATAACCGGAAACGCGAAGTGTATACTGATTACTTTGGTCCTCTACTTGGAATTTAGAGTATTCGGCCCATCCGGACTTTCCCTCCCAGTCCTCTATCATAATCAACAGACCATATTTCCTTTGCTTAGTAATTAAATATATTAATTCGTTTCCCAGCCAGAAGTCGCCATATAGACTGCCGAATCCGAATTTATATTCTAACCAACTTCTGTCGAAACTCTGAAGTCCGTCCTCGCGTCTTTGAAACACAACAAAATTTCCATCAAAAAAGTCGCAGTAAACATTGAAAGGGTACAAAGAACCTTGAGGTTGTATTCTGTAAACACCGTTTGTAGAATGACCAGAGGTCAGAACATCGTCACAATCTGAAAGTAAAAGCGAGTATCGCGGATAAATGTTTGGCAAAGCAAAAAAAGCTAGTAAACCTACGTCTATAGAAACGGAATCTACAGAAATACTTAACTTATATACAATGTAGTTACCAACTTTCAAAAGAGCATCAACATTGATCTAAAAAAAAAAAGCATTCTAGTTACCTGACGGATACATCCGGTTTATATCTGGAGTTTTCATAGGAACAGCACTGTTATTTTGAATCGCCGCTGTCAAAACGATTTTCTCTACTGCTCTTGTCAAGGAACTTGCGTTTAATTTATATGTATCAAGTTGTTTTTCGATGTCGCCGACTTTTGTGGAAATCTTCTTAAGCTCCGTTCTCATTTGTGCATCGTCTTTGGTTGATACAATTTGTTTAAGTGTATCAAAATTTGAATTTAAAATCCTAACTGTTTGTGAACTATGGTCTAGTGAAGCTTTGAAATTGTTCACTGATTTCTTTAAAATTGCAGTGGTGTCTTGTAAATGTTTGGTAAGATTGGTAACATCGTTATGGTCTCGTTTCAGGTAGGCTATTTCCTTGTGAATATCAAACATGTCTCTTTTAATCATAATCCACTCGGATTTTAAATCACTGACGGACGCGCGAAGTGTGTTTAACGTCACATGACCATTATCTTCTAGTGCCCTCTCTTGTTTCAATCTCGACTTCCGGCCTGACCTCCTTAACAACTTGCTTTCTAATTGTGTTAAACGTCGAGCAAAATTATTAAGTCGCAAATTTAAGTCGCCAAGTTGAAATGATTCATTATTGGCAGCTTTTTCTTTCTGTTCATTTAGTTTTGATTTAATCAACTCTAATTCAAGTTGATTGGATTTATTTTGCATACACTTCAGCTCCTGAAGGTCGGCATGTTTAAGTTTCAAGATTTCCAAATCAACATACGAGGACAAATTCGAAATTTTCAATTCTATCACTTGTAATCTACTCTGAGTGTCCCTATCGGGGTACCAAACATCAAAGTTGTACGAGCAGGAATCGGCGTTTGTCGTAACACTCAAACAAATCACAAAGACGCTTGTTGCGTATAGTCCAGAATAAACATTCATCATGCTTCTCTCTCCAGGAAATGACTTCTTCTGGTCGGCTTATGGACTTGTTACTGTGATTAAAACATCATTTTGCAAGAGTGATGCAAAACATCATTGAACTCTCTTGAATCAATCACTTCCCCTAATATCAATTCTCCAATTTTACGGGAAGATTTTTACATCAGTTCGGCGGTCGATAGTCCACAGTGTAACGCCAAGTAATGGTCCTGTTATGGATTTTTTTCTGAAGGTGCTCTAAGATTCTAAAAGTCACGCAGGAAAACATGAGGGCCTTTAATTTCAAACGCATTGGTCTTGATAATTTTTGCGATTGTTGAGAATTGATAAAATATTCAAGAGACATCTGTATTGTATTTTGCTTGGAATTCCAATGGTCCGTGTATGATCAGTGAATCAGAATCGATGACCCGGAATGCGGACACAGAGCTCAACCTCTTGAGAGCAACCTTTTTATCATATGGGTTGAAAACAACTGTAACTAAGATGCATTACAATTTCTTGCTCTCTGAATTATTGACAAGGTCGTTGAAAAATACGTACTGCAATAATTAAATACTGTATTAGGAGATGTGGCGTATAAAAAAAGGAATTCACACGCAAAAACAGTTTGCAAACATTTTTTTTTTTATTCAGAGAACATTTTGAGCTTCTCTAACAAAACGCAATTTATTCGTTAATGTACTGTATATAATCTTTTACTTTCTCAGTATCACTTAATACAACTTGCCAATGAACACAACATATATCTGGGTGTCCTATTTTCTTAATATTTTTATTATCCGTTTATTTCATACTTATTTTCATTAATTTGTCTCGTTTGGGAAAGAGGGGGGGGGGGGGTAAATCAAAAATAAATTACATAATTATATACAGTTTTTCAATTTACAAACAATATATTTTTAGGAAATCTATGTAGTTAGTTCTTTCTTCTGAAAAACCTGGGTGACATTCCTGATTTTCTGTTAAAAGAGAAAGTTTCTTATCCGGGCGAGCTTCCTAGAAACAAACAAGAAAAAAATCACGATAAAACAATTTTCTTTCTTTTTGTAGAGGAAGAAACATTAGAATACGAAATTGTGGAGTATATTTTATGTTTGTAAACTATTTACAGTGCTTTTTATCTGGAGTCAATGGCCCATGGTCCAATTTTAGACAGATTTGGGACATCAGAAAGATCTAACATGAAAATGCTTTGTAAAAAAAATAAGCATTTCTAAAATCAAATTGATTCAATGGCACGTTTCTACATCTGACTTGAGGACTTTCTTCGAAATTATCTAGAGGAGGTGTCGAATTGAAGTCATTATCCTGTTATTTGATATATCAATATAGGTAATTTTCAAGATTCAAGAAAGTTAAAATTGACAAATTTAGCCTAAAGCATAGAGTTTGTCACTTATAGTTCTTACTTCTCGCCTTTTCCCCACAAATTACAGTTCATAGCTCGCCATATTGGAGAACATGATAGCTTTCAACTCAGTAATTGAATATGATTAAAAAATGTTGTTTTTTGAAATAAGGAAATCGAAGCTTTTAATAAAGTACGAAAACATTACATAGCCAATATCGTGGATATAACACCTTGGACGCTTGGTTATTTTTGCAAAGTTCTGGAAAAAAATATTCTTGTATCCTTAGGGAAGATGATCAAATGTCGGTTCTTTGTCTGAGAAAGGAAGGATTTTAATTTAGTTTAACTTTGATTTGCTTGCATTAGATGAGGCGTCTTTTCAATATTCTACAGTGTAGGTGTTATTTTTTGCAGTAGCCTTTAACAATTTTCATTCCTTCTCCTGCTTTCATCTACATACTTTCATTAATGTTGCTTGAATGTTCCAATCGGTCCACTTGCCCCCTTGGCTTTTTTTTAAATTGCTAAATTTTGAGTTTGTATTGTTTACAGTTTTAACATATAAGCAACACATTGTCTGTCTATGTGTCTGTCTGTATTATATTAATCTTGCCATTGCCTTGTAGTTGATTGATGAATACTAAGATATTCTAGCCATTTTTCGACATTAAAAAGCCTCTATGGTTAGATATTGAAGTTTATGGCTGTTTTGTGAACTGGGGTTACTTTTTTCAACATATTATATTAGATGTAATATAATTATTGTAAACTGACATTAAGGATCTAAGGATAAATATTACAAGCCAACAAAAAAAAATGCATTGATACACACACACACACCCTCACACACACACCCTCTCTCACACACACACACACACACCTACACACACCCCCTCACACACACACACACACACACACACACACACACACATATATATATATATATATATATATATATATATATATATATATATATATATATATATATAATGACTGTTCTAGAATAAAAATGACGTGAATAATAAGTTCCTAAAATATAAAGAAATCATAGATTTTCATTGGAGTTCAAATATGCGACTTTGTGCAATTTTCTATATTATAATCCAATTTTTATATTTTATGACATAATTAAAAATCTTACAAAACTTTCTACACTTACTCTTTCAAACATTATTCAAGTTATCTATAACATAAATCTATAGGTAATATGTATAGTACTGATTTCTTAAAAGTTTGTGTTACCGGTATTTATCCTTAAAACCAAGTTCAAAAGGCAGAGATAATTTGCTTAACTCTATTTACTGGCAATGATTTTACATATGATTCTAGCCTGGCGCTTTCTGGGGAATATTTTCGGAAAGGAAAACCAATATCTATACTTCAAAGGACGCGTGAACAGAGTATACAGAAAAACTTGTGTTCTAAATATAAATATATGATTTTCTAGGGGTCTTGTGTTCGGATCAGTTAGAATTTTTCTTGGAATACTCGCTGTTCTTGTGTTAAATGCTTGGGTATCGGATGCTGCGAAGCATTTCTATTAGTATAAGGCAAAGTGACTATGAGCGACTTTTGCATGCGATCATGAAAGGGTTCGTCCAGGCATTAAGGAGAACGAATCACAAGTATTTCAAAGAACTACTATTTTGCTCTGAAAAATATGTCAAACATTCTTCTTCATTCTTACCGAAATTCCGATCCCATTATATCTTCCATTACGATAGCAGGGATTTTCTACTCTAGGCATTTGCTTTAGAATTCCAGGATGTTGAACAGTCCACGACCCCATACATCGAGTATTATGCCATTTTGATAATAACTCTTCAAAGAATTATTTTTAGATCTAGTGATTATAAAAAAAAAAATAAGTCATCGAATGCATAGAAGAACAGACAGACAGAAGGATTTAGACAAAATAATAGGAGGAATAAAAGGAAAAACAATTCATTTAACAAATGTATTAACCGGAGTATTCTATAAAGTGACTTTTTTCTGCAAAAACAAAGGTATGATGTGCCTGTTAGTTCCGAATTCTTTTATTCAAAGACAACCTCCTCTGATAGGATAATTTAGAGATAAGTTCTCTTAAAGGCCCAGACAGATATAACTTAATGGTCCATTAGGTATGTGTAAGACTCTACTGTGATGCAGATATTGTATTACCATTCTGTATGGTGCTACTAGATCTATTGATAAAGATTTTTCAAGGACATAAAAGCGATGCATACAGAATTGCAAGGATCATATTTAAAAAGGAAGGAAAACATTATAATAAATGGTTTCCACGTTTTTTTTAAACTGGCCGAGAAATAGATAAATGAAATTGCTAAAACACAGTACAGAACTCTGTATCAAGTGTAATACAGAGGGTTGATTTGACTGATTATATGACTGATTGATTGTTTGACTGATTGATTGTTTGACTGATTGATTATATGACTGATTGATTGTTTGACTGATTGATTGTTTGACTGATTGATTGTTTGACTAATTGATTCTACATGTATGACTGATTGATTATATGACTGATTGATTGCCTGAAAATTCTATCCAGTGTTTTGGTCATTATTTTTTAAAGTTAGTGAGAGGGTGTTTGATGGTGCTTAAATTATAATATTTTCTAATTCACAAGTTCAAATCAAAAAATTTATAAAATAAAACTAAAACATCTATATACATGAAGGATGAGCTCGCAAGCACGAGTGCAACAGATTACGACAATAAAGAATGCATTGATGACATGAAAAAAAAATCTGTCCAAACTTATATAAGACCCTTGATACCTTGTGCTTTAGTAAATGCTGTTTTAAAGAATTAGAACCTTTACAATACGAAATCGATCTAATTATATATACTCATTTGAGCATACACTGATATCAGCCTTTTCTAAATATCTCCTAGTCAGCAATAGGACAATAAGCAATAGGACTAAAACCACTCTGATTCTACACACAAGCACTCTGAAGTTGATATTAAAAGGATGTTGGAGTTTCTCATTCACATTATTTATGTAGTCTTCGTAAACGAAGATTTCCAACAAACTGTTGGAATTTCAATGGGCACTAATTGTGCTCCTTTATCAGCTGCCCTGTTTTTATATTCTTATGAAGCAGAATTTATTCAAAAACTTCTACACGAGAAGAGGAAAACACTAGTTGTGGCCTTCAATTCGACATTCAGATATATCGAAGATGTTTTATCAATTAACAATAGTTAATAGTTGACAATGGTTATTTTCATTGTCTCCCAACTTATTCGCTACTTAAGAGCTTGCTCTGAGTACGATCAATTTCTAAAGCGAGCAGGCTACTCACTGATAAGCTGATGTTACAGGGTTTTCAACGGCCTCGTTTAAAGTCAGCATTTCGTAAACTTTATGGTCATTTATAATGTCCTTGTTAGCAAATATAACCCATCACTGGGTCTTATTTTGGCTGATTTTTTTCATACTGATTGTTAGGCCTTTTATAGAATACATTATTTTGAAAAGCCACTTGAAAAGTTTCTGTACTTCATCAAATTAGCAGTTTCTGTACTTATAAAAAAAACCCAGTCATTGCCAGCTTCATCAAGATACTAGCACTTACATGTACAAATCTTGAAAAGACCTTGTCTATAAAACGTTATTCAAGTCCATGCTAGCTTCATCAAGATACTTACGGATCTTAAGTTGAAAGTACCATATCTGAATAATACGACATCCCAGACCATGCCACCTTCATCAAGATACTGATAAATCTTGAAAAGGCCATGTCCGCATAATACATCAACGATATTCGACCTTGC